TAATATATTTGAGTAATTTAACTATTCCTATAAGTATTAACTATTCCTATTTGAGTATTTTAACTATTCCTATAAGTTGCCATTGCTCCTACTAAATATGTCGTTAATTTAACTAAGATAAGTAAGATAATGGAGTTAAATAATTTAACTTAAACACAATGTTTTGTGTTAAAATAGTAAATTTCGATACACATGATAATTAAAAGTAACTAAATATTATTGAAGTCAAGAAACTGATTTAAATTAGACTCTCAAATATTAAACAGTGTACGGGCCGCGTCTTCTGTTTGGCATCACACCGTGACCATCGCTGATTCGCCCGAGCGAGAGAAGAAGACAGAACGTCATACGTCTGTCTTCTTGTATTACCCGTTGCCCGACGTTCCGAGCACACATGTATTCGGATGCACATATGGAGCGATTAGTAGACCAGCAGGCCCCTGTCGGTCTAATGGGGCGACGAATCATCGAGAAACCATGGACAGTGGTAGTCGCTGACATAATGGGCCCGTTGCCGCGTAGCAAGACCGGACACTCGTACCTTTTGGTGATACAGGATCTCTTTACAAAGTGGGTCGAGTGCCGTGCCTTGCGAAACGCGAACGGAAAGCTCATTCGGGCAGCTCTCGAAGATCTCGTACTATCGCGCTGGGGCACACCAAAAGTCCTTCTGACAGACAATAGTACCGAGTTTGTCAACAAGACGATCGAAGATTTCGCCAAAGAGAACAACATACATCACACTACCGTTCCGCCGTATCACCCACAGGCGAATCCGGTCGAAAGAGTGAATTGAATTCTCAAGACCATGATAGTAGCATTTCTCGACCGCGATCATCGCGAATGGGACACACATCTCGCTGGACGACTTCCGCTTCGCTTATAATACCGCCCAACATTCGTATCTCGGAACATCTCCTGCGTTTCTTAATCTTGGGCGCGAGTTAGAGCCATCGCGTTCCTTGCGTAGTAAACAAAGCAACGAGATCGACATCAAGCAACAAGACCCCGCTCGATAGTCTGAAAGGATAAGAAACATAGCGAAGTTACACGACTGGGTGAATGAGAATTTAGAGAAAGCGTACCAAAGCGTATTACAATTTGCGGAGGCGCCCTGCTGAATATCGAGTGGGAGATTTAGTTCTTAAGCGACAGCACGTCCTGTCCTCGGCGGCTCACAACACGGCCGCTAAATTGGCCCCGAAATTCCATGGGCCTTTCAAAGTAACAAAAATAAGGTCAGCGGTCGTGTACGAGCTCGCGCGACTAGACGGACGGGCGATTGGTAAGATTCACGTGAAGGAAATGAAACCCTACGTGGAACCAACGGCGGAATAATGTCCAATATCGCTAAAGAGAAAAAAAAAGAGGGGAAAGACAAACATTCTCGTTTCAGTGGTATCGGGATTTGTCGAGATTTGATGTTGAACATTTGTCGTTACTTGGTGTCGAAAATTTTCTGTTTTTTTTTTGTTGTTATCGATGAAGTTTTCCTGTGTATTTTGGTGTCGTGAAGCAACAAACTTGGTGGTTATAATTGTGGTTACATCTGGTGTACAGATATACCGAATCCTCGGGGTCGAGAAATGTCGTTTTCGTGTGTGTTGGACATTGAAACGTTTACCGTCTGTTTGTGAATTTCGCCAACTTAGTGTCGAGACCTTTGCCCGTAATGTCAAGGGAAACGCCTCTGAACAAGATGGATTTTCGTTTGGCGTAGAGAAAAGGGAAGAAAATAGAAGCCGAAGGGATGTCCGAAACAGAGACAGAACGACGCTGGACCCGATTTCGCCGGCGCTACAAGGCGGTGTTTTTGAGCATCATCAGGGAGCATCCTGGGTTCTGGGAGGGAGCCCACGACCTGTGGCAAAGCCACCTTGAAGAGAACACGACCACCCGTGGCGCGGTGGTCCGGGAGATCCCTCCGATGGTCGACGCGTCCACGCAAACAGAGGGAGCAGTCGGCGGAATAGCTCAGGCTGGAACCCAGACGGAGGGCTTCTGGGACCTGTGGGACGACCTGATGGTTGCCGCCAGAGACCAACGCGGCCGTGAGCGAACATCCCGGAGCCCGGCCACGGCCTCGGGGAACTCTCGGGAACCATCCCACAAGGAGCCACCGCGCGGCCCCGCTCGTTCGACGTCCCGCCATAGAGCCGAAGCCTGTTGGAACTGTGGGAGCAAGGGACACCGGTACTCCGGATGCCCTATGCCACGGGCGGACGAGTTTTGTTACCGATGCGGGGCCAAGGGCACGACTTGGCGGGAGTGCCGACGGTGCCGGGAGAAGGAGCGGCCGGACAACTCCTCGTCCTGCAGGAAAGGGCGCCCCGGCCGGGAATCACGCGAGGGTGCCTGAGGACGACGGAACTGGCAGGGATCGGATATAGAGGAAGCTTTCGTTTTTCTAGGCAGTGGGCCAAGTGGGAATAATTTATTTTTTTTGTGCTTCTTTCCCGTTTTTTTTTCTTTTTTTCTTTGTCTCTCTTCTCGTTCATTGTATCGATTGTCGTACCGCTACCGTGGCACTATCGTAAACTGCTACCGTCAGCGCGAGCCTGAATAAAGAGATTAAATTTTTTTTTTTTGTGATAAACGGTGTCAAGCCAAAATTAAATCTCCATCGAATCCCACTCTCCCCGCCTTACTTCCTGTGCGGGG